GCTCCACCTCCAAATATTATCACACCAGGAATTAGGGTTTCAACATACGAATTTTGGAGGAAAAAAGTCCAGTCATAGCACCCAGTTTTTAACTGGGTTGTGTTTTTGTTGTTGAGTTGTAGGAGCTCTTTATATATTCTAGGTATTAAGGCCTTATCAGATATATGGATTGTAAATATTTTCTCTCTTTCTGTAGGTCACCTTTTCACTCCATTGATTGTCTCCTTTGGTGCTCAGAAGTTTTTAAGTTTTATGCAGTCCTCTGTCTATTTTTGCTTTTGTCACTTATGCTTTTGGTGTCATTTTCAAGAAATCACGGCCAAATTCAATTTCTTGAAGCTTTCCCCCATGTCTTCTTCTTGGGAGTTTTATACTTTTGGGTGTTACATTAAGGTCTTTAATCTATTTTGATGTAATTTTTGTATGTAGTGTAAGAGAAGGGTCAATCTCCATTCTTTTGCATATGGTGATCCAGTTTTCCCAATACCATCTCTTGAAAAGACTGACCTTTCCTCCACTGTGTGGTTTCATTCAGCGTTTTTTTTTTTTTTAATGAAAGTTAAGCCAATTCATTTTTTAAAAATAAATGCAATAGAAACCTTGTGAACACAAGATGAAGGAGAGATGATGTTTGGTTTGGTTTGGTTTCATTTGTCACTCTCTGGTTCAGAATTCTCTGTCCCTGATGAGAATCTTCTGAGCTTAAAAATATTTACCAACTAAAACACTGATTTCTCATCACCTTTTAGTCAAACCTCATCGGGTGGCCTGCAGAGTGGAAAAGAGTAAACACCAGACGGTGAGTACCTGAAAAATCCTATTATTAAGACAACCTTCCTCATGAAAGATCCAAACACACGTGAGAGGAGAACGTGCAGAGTAGCCTAGGATTGCTGCCTTCCTTTTCGGATCACTTTAGCACAGTGTCTGACATCATCACTTTAAGAGTTAACAAGAGCAACAATAACCACTACCACTTGTTTAATTTTGCGATATTTCAGACGTTATTTTGAGCATTTTANCTCATCGGGTGGCCTGCAGAGTGGAAAAGAGTAAACACCAGACGGTTAGTACCTGAAAAATTCTATTATTAAGACAACCTTCCTCATGAAAGATCCAAACACATGTGAGAGGAGAACGTGCAGAGTAGCCTAGGATTGCTGCCTTCCTTTTCGGATCACTTTAGCACAGTGTCTGACATCATCACTTTAAGAGTTAACAAGAGCAACAATAACCACTACCACTTGTTTAATTTTGCGATATTTCAGACGTTATTTTGAGCATTTTAAATGAATAAACGCACTCAAACCCTCACAACAATCCTATGAAGTTGGTACTATAAGCATAAGCATTTTGTGGATGAGAAAACTGAGGTACAGAAATGTTTGATTATGCCTGAGATCACAGTGAGTAGTGGTTCAGTCTAATTCAATACTCCTTCATTCTCTAAAGTACTTACAAGCTCACTCAAACTTTCATGTTTTATAAAGTTCATGCTGCCTTATCCGTACACTTCTGCATTATTCATCTACTGATTATTTCAACCTAATTCTTCTCTGCTGTGCTAAGTGAGAGATATGCTAAGACCCTCTAAGGGAAGCTTGCAAATACACAGTCACTTTATACTGTGCACCGTCCCAGATGAAGACGGAGATAGTTCCTGCTCTCTCATAAGGGACCCATTCAGATGTGAGAAAGCTGCTCCTAGCCCTGAGAAGTTTGAGGTTTGACTGAGATATGACAGAGAGGAAAATGACTTAGCACTTCATGTATTTTACTCTATCCAGTAGAAATGTATCCTGGTACTGATTTTAAACGCTCCTCCCTGTAGGAAGAAGTAACTGCTCATTCCTCTGAGCCCTAATTAAGCAGATCTCATGCTGTTTCAAATCATTTATTTAGCCTGCTGCCTCTGTATTGGGAGCTCTTTGAGAGCGTGGTCCATTCCTGATTTTTCTCAGGAGTCCCAGGCTCAGCTCAGAGCCCCTGAGGGCCCCCTGAGTGTTTTCTAAATGATTCCAAATTTTACAAATTAAAATAGATGTAACAGGGTCAAGTAATGCTGGAGATAATATCTTTGAATTAGATTTCAACTGCAGAGATGGTTGAGGAGGTAAATCAATGTCAGGATTATAAGAGAAATTATTCATATCATGTTTGTGCTGTATTTAATGCCTCACAAAACACTTGGTGAACATTATTACATTTCATGTTCACTATACCATTAAGAATTAGAATGGATGCCAATTTATGGATTGGGAAGCTGAATAGAATTAGCTAACAGTACACCCTTACTTAAGCAGAAGTGGTACAGGAACCAGTTAGTTTAATTCCAAAGTGAAATATTCCTTCCAGGATATGGCAGTTTGCAACTCTTAGCATCACTTTCTGAGTCGTCTAGATACACTTATGCCAACTGTTCCTTCTCTTCCCAAACTCACTGTTCATTTTCCAGATGTGTTTTGTACCCTCTGTGCTTTTCTACATTTCTCCTTCCATCATATGTCGACTAGTTTATGGAAGAGGCCCTCTTTTTCTCTATAAGCCCCTACCTCCTTCCTTCACAGACCTTGTTGAGTCCTCAGCTTGTCTTCCAAAGTATTCTCTCTCCCTCACTCTCACTTACATTTAGAAAGTTGAAGGAAAAGGGCCTTAAGACATGAGCTCTAGTCCTGGATTCACTACCCCCTCATGCCCTTCCCTTTCTCTCTGGTATTCAGACACTCCAGGTTTTTCCAGGGATTGTTGAACCATTAACTAAAGTCATATATGTGAAAACAGGTTGCAAGCCCTAAGGAACTCAGGAAATGTATGTTGTCTTTTAATATGTGACTCTCACATTAAAGGGAATGTCCAGGGCACCATTAAGTAATGAATCTAGATTGAAGAAATTGTCAGCAACAACAGTTTCACTAAACGCAAGTGACTCAGAGAAGGCCCAGAAACGAGTGTCCCCTCCTGCAGAAGCAAGTACCTCTGGACAGTGTTCTAGAGAAAAAATGGGTAAGGGAAAATAATTTGGGGACTTTAGTCCCTCTAGGTCCTTTAGAAAGGTTGATGAGTATGGTCTAGATATGTGGGGTAGACTATCGATAGGCCTGGGCTTAACCTGGACTAAGCAGAGACCAGAAGTTAGATGCTGTATTGAATAACATGTAAGAACAAACACCAACTCTGAAGTCACACACTTGGGTTATAACTCACGCACAATCATTAGGGCCTTGGGCAGACATTATAAATCCTCTGCACTCCTTAATGCTAATCTGTAAAATGAAGATAAAGACATATAGCTCATATATTGCTTAAAAGCATTAAATTAAATATAAAAGAATTGATACATGCAAGGTGTCCAATAAATCCGTCTGTGATAACAGAGACCACGTTTTCTTATTGTTTATCCATGCCTTTGTTCACTGCCTAATATGTAATGCACTCTCAACAAATGTTTTGTGAATAAATAAATGCATGAATTAATTGTCTTGTGGGCAGAAAGTTTGGGAGGTTAAACCTGATCCTGGGAATCCAGAAACTAAAATTGAATTATGCATCTGTAGTCACTGTGGGTGTGGAGTCTTAGTCTCTCTGAAATAATAGTTAAGAGGTACTGAAGGGGTGGGGAGCCATAGTATGTAGAAGGATAGGTGATAATTTGATGGTAGCAGATTTCACATTTTCTGATGAAACAGGTACAAACACCCCAGACTCCTAACTTCAGTCACCTACTCTTCTCCAACTTAGAACTCAGGAGAGAGGAAATTGAATTGAAGACGTATAGCCTGCGAGAAAGAAAAGGTCGTTCATACAAAGAGGTCAAAGAGCCTCAGGATGATGACTACCTGTGTAAGTGACCCTTTTGGCCCACTCGTGGAGAAGGCTATGTCCTGGTACAATAATTTCATCTTGTCGTTTGACCCCAAATCATTCCTTTGTTCTGGTGGCTTGGAGTACAGGATTGAGGCTAAATTATGTAAGTGCTGGGCTCATTCTGAAGTTCTTCATATCCAGGAACACGCACTATACATTTCCTAATGTCTGCTGCTCTCGCCTCCAGATTGTGAGCAATGCCAGAACATCTTCATCGACAGCTGTCTGGCTCATGGACCCCCTACATTTGTAAAAGACAATGCAGTAGCCAAGGGGCATCCCAACTGCTCAGCCCTCACTTTGCCCCCTGGGCTGAGAATTGGGCCATCGGGCATCCCTGATGCCGGGCTTCGAGTATGGAATGAGGCATCTGATTTGCCATTGGGTCTGCACTTCAGCCCCTATGAGGGCCGGATCACAGAAGATGAAGAGGTAGCCAACAGTGGCTACTCCTGGCAGGTGAGAAGGGCCTATCTTACCCCATCTTCTGGCTTCCTACATCGCTTCTTTGCCTCTGGTGGGACATCCCCTTCTACATGCTAGAACATGGATAGAGACAACATGGTTAGCGCTGTGTACTCAGTGGTCTTTGCGTGAACATGGAACTCCTATTTAAAGGTCAGAGGGTGAGCGGGAGAAAAGTGGCAGAGAGACAAAAAAGTGCATTCTCCCTGTGGGGCCTCAGCTCTGACTGGACAAATCAACTCAGATGTGTGGATGATGCCGAGGAGCACAGCATGTGTCACCACTGGCGGCTGAATCCATGCAGGCTCAAATGCATGGAGGACAGTAGAATAAAATAATTCTGATTATTACCTGCCCATCAAACCCAAAAATGACTAACTTATTTTTCTGAAACTCAGATCACCAAGGGGAGAAACTGCTATGAGTATGTGGATGGAAAGGACAAATCTCGGGCCAACTGGATGAGGTAAGGCCAATAGGTTTTGGGTTCCAGCAGGGACACTCGTCTCTCTCGAGCTCGGCTTCTTTCCTTCCAGCATGCCTCCCTCAATGGTTTTTACACTCTCTGCTCCCCTTACAATGTTCTTTCATATTATGAACATCTAGGAAAAAAGAGATAAAATATAGATACTACAATTTTTTTTTTATCAAAAAACTAAATCTCTATGATAGACAAAATTGGGGCACCAGGATAAACCCTGAGGAGCCTAGATCCATTTGGGACACTGGAATCGCACTTTAGTTTATCTTATCAGCATTTATTAAGCACTTACTATATTCTAGTTTAGAAAATGAAGTACATCACATGAACAGATCACACAACCCATGCCCTTGTGGAGGACTATTGCAGGCAGACGTGAAACATTTGATTATAGGAGAACTACACAATGCCAAGACAACCTAAAACAAGGGACCTCTAATCTGTGAGAGCAGGCAATCTTGCCAGCTTCAGTGAAATTAAAACCTGAAGCCTGAGAAGTGAGCTGCAGGGTGGTCATGGGCTTCTGTGCTGCATGGCCCAGCCCGTTTCCATGAGGGTTATCATTTTATTAGAGGATAAGAACATGGATATGCTGTTATTATTCTGTGTTATTATCACGCTAGGACAAAGAGACCTCTAAGTTTCTATGGGACCCCAGGGAGGCAGGTAAACTATGGGAGATTAGAGAAAGGTCTCTCAAAAGGAGATAGACTTGGGCTGAGTATAGAATGATGTGTGCTAATGCAGAAGCGGAGTACGTGATTGATCAAACGCCAAATTCTGTGTTACATGTGGAAATCGATTGAGAGTTTAGAGAAGTTGGAAGTCAGTGTGTTATGGCCAATCAAGGTGGAAGTAAGTCTGGAACGGGGTTTTGAAGAATGATTAATTAGTCAAGGTGGGGAAAGCATTCCAGGCAGGATGAGCACCATACACAGGACTTGGAGAAAGAGGCTTAGGTAAGAACAGCAGGTTCCTGGAGGAGGGTGGCGGCATGGCCTGTCACAGCATGGGGGCCCTGACCATCTGATGACAAGCCCAACATGGCCCCGACAGGTAGTGGAGACTCACTGCCTGTTATTTTCTGTCCCTTTGTCTGCCTCAACCCCAGGTATGTGAACTGTGCCCGGGATGATGAGGAGCAGAAGCTGGTGGCCTTTCAACAACACAGGAAGATCTTCTATCGAACCTGCCAGGTTATCAGGCCAGGTGAACTGCTGGCCTGGTACGGGGACGAATATGGCCAGAAGCTGGGTATCAAGCAGGGGAGCAAGTGGAAGAAAGAGCTAACGGCAGGGAGAGGTGGGCACCACTATTATCCTATAAAAAGGACAGAAAAGGAAGAATTCTCCTTGGGAATTTTCATGGTGCAACTCTTAAGTAGAGTAAAATGCAGTCTAAAGTCAGAAACATTTCAAATCAGGTGCTTCTGAAATTAAGGATTCGTCTCATTTGCCTTTGACTCTTAGGGAAAATTTATATTTTAATTTTTTTGTTCTGATTTTATTTTTTTAACTTCTTTATATGAAAAATATATAACAACATACAGTCCTGACGGGCTTAGAGACAAAGAACAAGTCTCAAGCACCTACCAGCTGTTTCAACAAGGCCGTTTCTTCTGGCTCTTTTAATTGTTTCTTAATTTCTTCCATATTTCTAAATAACATGCATATGTTGTTATTCATTCACTCATTACTTCAATTAGTTGTCATGTGAATTCCTACTCTGTGCCAGACAATGCTCCAGGAACAGGAAATACACACAGAACAAGATGATCAGAATAAGTGCTGTTGAGCAGCTGATGTGTGAATTAGGGAAACATGCAGACACGCACAGCCATGTGCATATCAGACAGTGATTCGTGCTTTCAAGAAAACTAATCCAGAAAAGTGCCTAGAGATCATCATCAGGTGAGGAAGGGTGTGGCAGGGGACAGTCAGGGAAGGTTGCTCTCAGGACATAACATTTGACAGGTGCAGAGTTGTGGGCAAAGGACTCCAGGCAGAGGGAGCAGCTCATGCAACAGCCCTGAGGCAGGAGAGAGCGAGGGTGTTTGAGGAATGGCTGAGACCACCCAGGTGAAGGAAGCAGAGAAGGGAGCAGAGTTCAGAGAGAGACACAAAAGCCTGGACATGTAGTGCCCATGATTCCTGCCAGGAAACGGGGGATTTTCCTGAGATGGAAACAATTGTGGACTTTGAGTTAATTTACAGAAAATAATCTTCACTGGGTAATCCCCTCAGAGGCCGCATCAGTCTCCAGGTAAGAGAGGATGGTGGGTTGGATAAAGGTGGGAGTCAGGAGGAAAGAAGTCTGATTAAGGATACATTTAAAACAGACCTTCCGGGCCCCGCCCGGTGGCGCACTCGGTAGACTGCAGCACTTGGGAGCACAGCGGCGCTCCCACCGAGGGTTCGGATCCCATATAGAGACCGGTCGGCTCACTGGTTGAGTGCAGTGTGGGCGTTACACCGAGGGTTGCGATCCCATTACCAGTCACGAAAAAAGACAAAAAGGAAAAACAAAACAAAACAAAACAAAAAACAGAACTTCCTATTAAATTTGAAATGGGCTAAGACTGAATGAAATAACTCAGGTAGGAATATTTGGTGTGTCACCCAAGGAAGGACATATTTTCATTTTATGATTCGTAGACACAGAGAGAAGCAATTCATAATCTATATCATGTGTAACTACACCTGAATTTGAGTCTCCCCATTCAAAGACATTTAATTGAGGACTCTTGTGTACCCGGTTCTCCATCAGGAAGGGGGATTCAGAGTGGTCCAGGCCCCCTTGAGTAAAGGACTCTGGTTCCTGCTGCCTAAACTAGATTATGAACCAACCCTAACCACACCATGATATCCAGCCCTAAACCTCAAAGTGTAATCCTAACACTAACCCCTGCAATACTGGCCTCCCTGTCCATGCAGTTCCCATCAACAGAACCCGCCCCCTGGGGCCTTGGGGTGGGGCTTGGGGCCATACAGCTCTGGACCTGGAACCATTTCTCAAAACTCCTGTCCGCATCTTGCTTTCCAACAGGGAATGAAAACCCTGTCTACATTGCCTATTTCCTTTCAGTAGATGAGAGTGGAAGCCAGACTGAGAAGGGGCCTCCACATGGATCACAGGTAGCCCTGAACCCTATGGTGACCACATAAGAATTTCAAATCAACTTGCCAGAATGAAAAAGAAGCATCCCCAGAGTGCCTGAAGTGCAGTCAGGGATGGCGGTCACTGGACCATGCTGGATGTTGGGATTGAGGTGTCTGGGCACCCACATTCCTCTGGGTGGATCTTGTCACCACAATCTACCCATTGTCCAATCTGACCCTCAGCAACGTACCCATGGTGCCCGGAGGTGGGCAGAAACTATCACGCATCTCAGAATTCAGCCCAGTGTCCCGCAGGTAATGACCTGCAGAGAGCTGACACTGAGCACATCTGCCTGACCTTGTCCTAAACTCCATGTGTGTCGACCCAATTAAAGTCAGAAGCAGCCAGTGACTGTGGCTTCTTGCAGCAAGTGACATCGATAATATTGTGATAGATGGAAAAGAACAAGCGAGCAGAGTTTGATTGTGTGTATGATGAGAGATACACAGTAATAGATATAAAGTGAGATATTTATAAGGCGAGGAATTTATATAGTGAGGGATATATAGTGAGAGATATATATAGTGAGAGAAATATATAGTGACATAGTTATAGTGAGATATTCATACGGTGAGAGATACATACAGTGAGATATTTGTGCTGAGATATTCATATAGTAAGATATTCATATAATGAGAGAATTATACAGTGAGAGATACACATATATAAAAATCTCCATTTCTTGGCAAATTACCCAAGAACTCAGCCAATCTGTGGCAAAATTTAGTCACAGACCCTGGTGTATCAGCCCATTTTTGTGTTGCTGTAACAGAGATACCTGAGACTGGGTAATTTATAAAGAACAGAGGTTTATTTGGCTCAGGATTCTGAGACAGCTGCATCTGGCGCGGGCCTCGGGCAGCTTCTACTCATGGCGGAAAGTGGCAGGCAGCCGGCGGGTACAAACAGATCACATGGTGAAAAGCAAGAGAGAGACAGACAGACAGACAGACAGACTGACTGACTCTCTCTTCTTTTAAAGCCCTCAGAACCACGCCCCTGACCACCGTTTTTAATCCATTCACTACTGCACGGTCCTACAATCCAATCACCTCTTCAAGGCTCCACCTTTCAATTACCGTAATATGATTTCCCACCCTCTTAACAGTCACAGTGGGGGCCGAGTTTATAATACATAAAACTTGGGGGACACAATTCAAGCCGCAATGAGTTTGGGGGGGTGTCATGATTCAATCTGCTACACCTGGCTTCGTGGCTCAAGCTCTGCTCAGGTAGCTCCTGTCCTGTGATGGCAGATCCCCTGGACTGCTGACGCCCTGCACGCTTGGCTTCCCACCTGCTGACAGGCTCCCTCTGGCTCGTGGAGAGGGTGGAGGATGTAGTCGGAAGGGGACACTTGGGAACCAGCTAAAGTAGAGGCAAACCTCCTGTCTGCCAGCTTCCTACACCTGCACCCCAGCTGTCACTCTGCGGCACCTACACATGCACCCCACCCCCAGGCTGTCCTCTGATCCGAGCGGTGGCTGGTGTGCTGGGTGGCGCCGGCAGAGAGCGGGGCATTGGACGGAGGGAGCGGTGCGGCCGCTGGGCCCCGCCCGGCGAGCAAGTGGCCCGGGGCGCGCGGCCGTGCCCGGGCGCTGGGAGGCTCACGGCGGCCCTCGTGCAGCCTCTGGCAGAGCTTGGCCCCGGGCGGGGCCCCGGTTGCCCCTGTCGCTCCTCGGCTCCCTCCCCGTCCTGAATCCCGCCCCGGACCGCGCCTGGCGCACGTCCCCGGGGCTCACGCTGTGGTACGGTCGCGGACCCCGGGGTGCAGGTCTCCAGGCTTCCCCGCCCCACAGCTGTGTGGACCCGGCCCGCAGGGTCCAGAGACGGGCCGCACGCACCGCGACCCGGGGTCTGCCGCTCCGCCCGTGGGTCGGGAGGGCTCTCGCGGACACCTGCTCTCTGCCGCGTGGCCACCCGAGTGTGAATGGACACGACGCCCTCACAGCCGCGCTCCCTCTGGGACCATTAGTCCTACTCGCTGCTGCAGCCCGAGTGTCCCCTGGCCCTGGACAGCCCCGGGATTATCCCTCGCCAGGACGCCTTTCTGGTGCCTGCGCCATCCTGGGCTGGGGACTGACCTCCCTGGCCATGCCACTGACCCCTGGGAGCGCCCAGCCCCAGCGCCTCGCAAGCTGCATGGCTTAAGGTTGGGGCCCAACCCAAGGGAGGCCCATCTAAGCCTATCTCTCAGTGCACCCACCAGTATCTCTCTCTAAGGAATAATCTTTATTGTGGTGAAATATACATAACATAGAACTTACCATCTTGACCATCTAAGTGTCCAGGTCAGTGGTATTGAGCACGTTCACACTGCTGTGCAAACATCACCACTGTCCCTCTCCAGAACTCCCTCATCTCCCAAACTCAGACTCTGCACCCACTAAACACCAACTCCCGCAGTGCTGGGCTGGCGGCAGCCAGTGGAAATCTGCCCTGTGGGAATCTGACCACCCTGGATCCCAGTCTCTCCGCAGCTGGACTTGTGAGGCTGTCGCACGGAAAAGGAACCAGAACGCCCAACTGAGAATTTTAAAAGGGGGTCTTGATTAGCCGGCCGGCAACTGTCTCTCTAGATATTCTGGTAAGAGAACAGCCCTGAATTTAAGTTTAAGGGGCCTTTTAAAGGCACATAGTCATGCAGGCAAGAAAATCATATAGTCACACACTTAAAGTTATCATATAGTCACACACGTTCCCTCCTAGTGTGAGGAGGGAGGGGGTTTTGCGAGACCTACCGCAAACTCATTACAGAAGCCAAGATAAGCCAGTTAATTACTTAGGGACTGCAAAAACTTCCACAGGGTGGTTTCCTCCTTAGGTTATCTAGATACATCCAGATACAGCTCTTGGTTTTATTAGTCAGGGACAGCATAGGCGGGGAACATCAAAGTCAGGCAGAATTTAAAAGTTTTCTAAGAACAGGACAATTTTTAACCTTCAATTTTCACCATAGGTGTTGGGGAGGGGTTCAAACAAGGACACTTTTCAAACAGTAAAAATGGTATTAGCTAAATCAATCTACCTTGTCACAGACTGTGAGGTGTGGAACATGCTCTGCGATGGGAGAAGAGCCAGGTCTTCCTTCGAGGGGGCAGGGTGAACAGGAAATAAAGCCCAGTGCATCCAGTCCACAGCCCACTAGCTCTGTGGCCAGCTCTGTCTCTCGCTCCTGGGCTTGGTCCTTCATTCCTTCCACAATATATCCCATACTCCTCCGCCACGTGCCCATTTGCTTAAGATGGTTGAAACCGGCTTTATCTGCACACTCATGCTCCTGCACACTGGGGTGCACTGAGGAATCACATTTTTTCCAGGGAGTCTAAGGAAGCGCAGCACAGCACCCCACAGTGTGGGTGCTGCAGAGAGAGGCCTCGTTTCTGTCGGGTCCTGACTACGTCAGCCAAGTCACTAAACCTCTCTTGAAACAGAGTAAGCGTAGGCCTGTGAACCAAACTGACTCCATTTTCCCTGCAGAAGACACATCGTTACTTTTCCACTCCTCAGTCATGAGACCCCTCAGGGCAAATCATTACCCCATGGGCTGCCCTGACAAAACAGACTGACGTAAGAGAGGAAACAGATATTTCCTGAGTGGCAAAACCCCTCCTCAAGGCTTGTTTACTATAATTCTAAAGGTTACAGATTAACTTAAGACCCCTTTAGGAATGCCCACCTGTGCACAAAGCATCAAGGTGACTGCTACAGTGACCCTCCTGGGGT